GGTGAATAGGTTATCAGAATTGACCGAGGTGTTGGCATGAATCAATCACTCACCATGGGTATGATCACTATTACGCCTATTGGGGAGTGTCTGCTGCTATTCCGCTCGGGTGGGGTACTCTGTATGGATCAAACTACTATCTGCTCTAACCAATACCTCGCTAGGTTCTACGGTGGATATGCATATGGCGGAGGAGTGGGAGGCTGCGGCTCGGGTTGTGGCTCGGCTGGATGCCGTGGCGGGCCATGCGGAAGCACTTGCAGCGGTGGCGGTGGTGGTAACTGTGGTGGCGGCGGCGGCAATTGTGGTGGGTGCGGCGGATGTGGTGGTGGTGAGTGATTGATTCATGCCAACACCTCGGTCAATTCTGATAACCTATTCACCAGGAGGATAAGCATCATTTCCCCTTTGCAAGAGACTGGCTGCGAGCTGTCCCAACTTGTGAACCCCGGAGCCTGTGCCAAGGTTGTCAAATTTTTTTTCAGGAAATTCGGTAGAGCGTGTATTTCAAAGTTCATATCTCAGGTCTATGAGAGACGAGCATTAGCTCGACGTTGATCACGACCCTGTTGCACAAGAACGCGATTTTCGTCTTTAGACAAATTGACCAATAGATGTGCTCATATTTATACTAGGATTTTCTACTCTCGATAATAGATCGGAGAAAGATATGTTGTATGCACGCAAAGGGCAATCAGCTCATGCGCAGTTGTGGTCTGGTCGAATGGGCAGAGCGACCGAACAATCAAGATCTTTCGCTTGCCGGAAATACGGAGATCCTTTTAGACCTCGAAATGTTAGTGTTGTTCGTTTCTTATCGATCAGTTGGACTCACATTTCCTTTTCAGACCGGGATGTTATGTGTGCCATTGGGGGTTGCGCTTCTGTGACGCTCCCGTGGAAAATATTCCTGAAGGCTATGATAGTGAAGCTCTGATAAAAGGACTTCCGGTATATCCCGATGATGATGATGAGATATTATCAACTTGGGAGGAGCGAGCTCGTGCTTGGAAGGAGATTGACCAAAGAGGTGCTGGGCGACTGATGGCTTGTAGTTGGGCGAAGAACAACACCCATCATATGGGTCCAGATTACTGCTAGAATAATATACCAAGCATATTATTTCTTGATAGAAATACCGGGAACGTGGATTGTCAGGAGTAAGGTAGATTTGAGAGCGAGGAAAGGTGAGTGAAACGAGTATGCTAAGTCTAGGCATCGAATCCATATCTGAATTCAACGGAATCGAGGAAACAGTATATCTTAATTCAAGGGCGGGGGGGCGCTTCAACATTATCTTACGAGCGAATGCCATCTACGACCCACGTACACTACGAGCGCTCAGTTTGACTGCCTTTCTTCCTTTCGGGGTGCTAACCAGGCAAATAGTATCATGACTACCAAAATTATCAACCTGTATGTCAGTGTAGGACCGCTAGCTGTTGTGCGAACGAGGTTCGACGTGAAGGCGCAGTCGTAGATTGATGAGACAAATACCAAGATAACACGTGTTCTTCTGTCAAGGTCATTCGTGATGCCCATTCTGCTGTGTGAGTCGAACTTTGTCATTTTAACGTGTCAAATGGTGGTTGGTGTTGAAGCCCCGTCCGCCCATTTAGTCCCATTTTGGACCTGTCCACATTTCAGGCGCAGCAACAGGTTCTTGTCGACATTGCCACTAACGGATAAACCGAAGTCATTTTGGAGGATGGTGTCGTCACTGCGGTTTCTGATTAAATACGTGGCTAGCCACGTCCACCATGGGGGACGTTTGGCCGTCCGATGACATCGGAGACACAACAAGGTTCCTCAACTTATATATTCGAGCATTTACGCGCTGGTACTAGGGCAAAATCCACACCGTAATCTCATCCATTTATCAACTTTCATCACACGGATACCCGATTAGACTACTCGATGACTTCTACGTCAAACTCTTGGTTTTCCTTCTCCTACGACCAGATCCTCCTCGCGCTATCACCTACCCACGCCATCTATAATTGGTATGCTAAACCTAGTGACAGCGAGATGGAACTTCCGGTATTTACTCTTGCGCTTACTTATCGCCCTGACAAGAACGATCTGACATCTTTCCTTCAGCCCGAAGCACCAGCTATTGCCCCATCTGCCTTTGGCCTCTCTATCATAAGCATCATCAGGTCGTTCATATGGAACGATGAGATGATCCAGAAAGGTTATGATGAGGTATGCCTCTATAAATATATTGAGTACCTGAGCCCATTTTACGATTTACTGGATGATAGCATAGAAATGGACTCTTCCGCATGCCTTTCAGTGGGCAATGGGCTACAATCGCGACTGGTCAATACATTCACGAAATGGCTCGCGCGCCAGATTCGCTATTGTCCTTCCAGGAGAGTGTGAATCAGGTATCTGACCTAATTACCTCCATTTTTAGTCGAATAGCCCCACTAATCCACTTTTCTAGATGCTTGAATTGGAATCTCTCGCTGGTCCTGCGCTCTCCCAAGATATGATGCATCTCAGCGTCATCAAGACTCTCAACAGGCACCTTGATGCGGTGTACTTGGAAATCTTGGACGAGACGAAATACGGGTTCGACAAGATTTTTACTCCCATCGAGGCGGATTCGGATGGTAGGTAACCGGCTCTCAAGGAAACATGTCCCTGACCGTCAAAATTTTAGGCTGGATCAAATTTCGGGCACTAGAAACATTTTTGAAGCTGACTTCAAACCTCAACCATAGGTCGTTCATCCGTGCCTTGTATGTGCGACATGATCCAAGTGAGCATATCGTCCTGAATTGCCTTGTCAGAATCGATGAGGACACTTGATAGTGTTGAACATACCGGCCGATCCTCGGGTAGCATTGCACGCCTCTCCTCGACCACGGCTGAGAGCATCTTGACCCCTTTAGCAAAGGAAACGCCATATTTGGACATGTAACCGTTTGCGTCCCTATATCAATGAAGTGTATTAGTAGCGTGTTTGCGATTGTATAACAAAAGAACTGACCAACGCCGAGACTTCGGGAATGCTTTCAAGAACACAGAGCGAATCATCAGATCCACCGAGGTTTTTTCTTGTGTTTTATTC